TAATTTATAATAATAAATAATAATACTATATCTACAATTTTAACACAATCAGTGACGACGATACTATATAATGAAATTTTTCCGACTGTGTAAAGTTTTTCACCAAATTTACAATTTGCCGACTGACAAAAATATCTTGGGGGGGTAGGCACCCCCCTTACCCCTCCGTTCGGAACGCCCCTGTACCTAACTAGGTACATTTACATTTTTTGTATATTAAAATGGTCATCATATTCATATTCACTTATCAGTTAACTAGTTAAGTACGATTTATGTCGTTTATGATTCAAGATCTTATTTTAATTAATATTTAATGTTCTTTATTTATTATTTGGCATTGGCACTGAAAATTTAAGAATTAAAATGTCAATAATGCATAAGTGGCTTAAAAAAAAAAGTAAAGAAAATTGACCCAGCTACATCTACTGTTACATCCTTATAAAAGTATACTAATTGTGATAAGCTTGTAAAATAATATGGTGTTGAGAGTAACAATGCAGTATTATTCCGCCAACACCCAGATACACCTCTTGTACCTGACCACTAATCGGTCGAACAATGATTAAGCGACCAGTTTTGACCAGAGAAATGTAATCACCAATGCATGGTGCCCTGAACACTACTCGCGGTTTTKTTCAATACATATCTACGATTGGGGAGGATCAAACGGTATTTGTTGCCCAAGGATCACGATAGAAATCATAATATTATTTTTAMTGGGTGTATTTAACGAGTATTATAATTATGCATTTATGTATGTTTTTATATTTATGTTAGAACTGACGAAAGTGTCATCAGTGGGTGGCTTCTTTCCTAAAGTTTATGTAAATCACCTTATTGATTGTTTCCCTTATTGCACATAATTTACTTATCATGTCTAAGATATAGATTGTATATTTTCTTCTAAAAAAAACTAAKGTTAAAACTGTCCGTTGTGCAGACAACGACGACAACAACCTATTAACTATTATTATTATCATATCATGTTTACATTATCACGTCGCGGTCACCGATGCCGAGGACGACACAGCAATGTTGTAGCAGACACAGGACTTAAGTAGTAGGGGGGTTGTGGTATGCGTTTACGCACGGCAAGCAATGCATGTCGCTATGTTGCTATTGTTACAATATGACAAACTGTAAATACAATAACTAATTAAATAATTAGTTTTGTGGACTTTTATTTTTTGATGGCTCATCTGCACACTAAGTAMTTGCATTAAAAAAATAAATCTTGAAACTCGGTTCAATAGAATCTCAGATATAACTGTCATAAGAAATCGCATCAAGTTTTAATAATATATCAAGATAAAGATAATAAGGTTTGTATTAGTTAAAATTATAGAAGTCTTTACAGTTAAATCGTGTCCAACGTCCGWGGGTATTGTGTTCACACCGCAGTCGAGGCGTATGTAGTTGCRCAAGCGCGAAACAATGAGGATTTTATCCCAYCAATACCCTTGTCTGACCACTCGTCGGTYGAACAACGATTAAACAACAAGTGAAAGCTATAGAAATGACACCCCCAGTGCATTGTACCCTGATACCCTGCTCGTAGTTCTGTTACATTTAAACCCACAGTGTGGGAAGATAAAAATGATATTCGTATACTGAGAATTGTGAAAGAAGTCATATTATATAGAAGCCCACTAAGGAATAAAAACAATTAGAAAATAAAGAAACGTAACCACCAGTGCATGGATTACTGATACGCTGCTCGCGGTTTTGTAACCCCACTACCATTGTTCGGGTCGATCACACGATGTGCCGTGCGCTGGTCTGTCAAAGCAACAAGAAGGAATCCAGTATGAAGCAGAGAAACGCAACTATCAGTGTATGATATCCTGATACTCAGCTCGCGGTTTTGTTACATTTAAACCCACGGTGCGGGAAGATCAAACGGTATTCGTAGACGGAGGATCGCGAGAGAAGTCATATAGAATCCAACTAACGAATAATAACAAGTAAAAAATAGGGAAACGCAACCACCAGTGCATGGATTCCTGATACGCTGCTCGCGGTTTTGTTACCCCACTACCATTGTTCGGGCCGATCACACGATGTGCCGTGCGCTGGTCTGTCAAAGCAACAAAAAGGAATCCAGTATGAACCAGACCTATTTATTAATTTAAAAAAAAAACCTATGATTTTGTATATTTTTTTTAACTGTTTTATTCTGGTATTGAGACAGTTGTTAACACTAATTCTTAACTAAAACGATTTAGTTAAGTATCTAGGTAGTAAAAATGTACATTTGTACCTACCCTATAAGGCTATAAAAATAAATACAAAAACATTAGCCATGTAAAAATAAGTAAAGCCAGGTGATGAAGTAGACATTATTTCAACTGATTAATTCAGTAAAGTTAAATTTAAGTATTCATAATTTTTAAAATATTCAAGTTGAGAATTTTTCTAGGTGTAAAAACATTGGGCTGATCAAACACTTAATGGARCTTTTATAAAMAGAACATTTTGATGGAGGAARCCATAATAATTGTAATYGGTGATTACAAATAGGGTAAAAATTTAATTTAGGTAGGTACATCCTAGTTATTATCACAATTGATTATACTATATTTTATTTATATATTTTTATAATATTTTTTTTTCTCATTACAATTTATGGAGAAATAGTTTTTTTAAATGATTTATTTATTTATGTTTTAGATATGTATTAAGTAAGTAATTGGATACCCTATAAAACTGGAGGCTAAAAACATTTAAAAATAAGAAGAGCCGAGCAAAAGTTTTGTATTAAGTTATTGAAGTCAAATTCAAGTAAATTGTTTTGTCATTTTCTTAACTTAAATTTAACAACTAAAATATACCTATATAAGTTGAAATAATTWTTCTATAAAAATAAGATAAAGTTAGTCAGTAGGAAATTACTTTACTGTACAGAAGAAGTGTATTTGATAAATGAAGATAGTCTCTTCTCTCTTAGCCTGTATTATCAAATTTATATCATTATTTAGGCACAATTTTATATGTTTTTATGTAGTATTACTGTGACTAGAATTTTGGCATATGATAGATTTATTGGACACGATTTTCAACTATACCTAAATAAGYTATATTTTATTTTGCTTATTTTGTGAAAAACACAACTTGTTAAATTTTTTTTTAAGATATCCTAGGTAGAAGCATAATTTCAATAAATCACTTTAACTTAATAAATATTT